AAGGAGATTTAATTATTGATAAGAGCTATTCTAAGAAATTAAAGAAACTAAAAAACATGCCTAGGAGCACTGTTTAAAGTTCTTGAACTTTGAAGAAGGTGTAAGAATAACTCTTTATTTTTAAAATATTTATATAATTATAAGCTTTTCTTGTATAGAGATAGGATTTTAATTCTGATAGACAGAAAGTAAATTAGAAAGGCATCATGAATCTTACAGAAAATTTAAGGAAATTTTTTTCTAAATTTTAAAGAGTTGTAAGCTTCTCATTAATAACACGATTTCGATACTTTATTCTAAATCCATTAAGTACAGGAGAAAGTATAAAAGAAAAAGTATAAATAGTTCTTGATATTATCTAGTCATAAATCAAAATAACAATCGATTATTTAGGTTTTATTTCTTTTAAAAAAACATAAATATACCGGCAATAAAATCAAATTACTAAATATTTTAATGAGACTATCAGAATAAAGAAGATATTTTCGTGTTTAAATTATCTTGGATTGTTTTCAAATTATAAAATACCCAACTTTTTGGCCTAATCAATTGTTTTAGTATATTTTTATTTTACAATTTTTTAATTGAAGTTTTTTAGATATGATATGAATATTTTGGGTTATATTAAACAGGGTGTTATGAAATTAATTTGCAAACCATTTTAAGCCCAATTATGGAAATGAGCTATTAGAGGAATTGTAAGAGAAAGAAAAAGAAAATTTGTTTCATTTTATAGAAGCATTTATGTAAATATGAACATCAATTATAGTTAGATATTATATTAATGGATGTTATAATTGTGAATATTTTAAATAATATAATACGATTGATTATTAATATTAGATTATTTAAGAAGATTTATACAAAACAATTGAAGAAGAATGTTTTGATACAACTCATTTCATGATTGAATTATAATATTTGTTCATAATATTTCTTCTAATAGTTCTAGGCTGATCATAGTAATAATCATGATCAAATATACTTAATTTGAAGACGCTAAAACTCTATTTAGAATATGCTATTATGGCAATCTTAATGACTAAAATGGATTCTATTAATGCAAATTTGAATCAGGTTTCGATCTTAATTCAGGTTATTTATGTTCATCTATTTTTGGTGATGATCTCATTTTTAAAGGACAATAGTGTAATGATAGTAAAAAGATTTTATGTGTGTTATTTATGTATTTTTTAATTAGATGTTTTTATAGACTAAATGTATAAAATAATGAAAATTAAATATTTATTAAATAAAGTAATATTAGAAGGTGGAATTCAAATTATGATTGAGAAAAATATGTGAGAATTATGTCTCAAAGAAAAGTTTAAACTGCAATTGCAGCTATCACGAAAAAAAAGTATATAATCTAACATTAGGCTAGTGTAAGGAAAATCACTTAGAGATTGTATATTCATTTAAGAATAATGAATAGTTTCTGGATTAGAAGACTTTGATGGATACAATGGTAAATGCTTATTGGAACCTTGATATTTAATTTGATCAAGACAATTATTTAGTATAGTATGTAATTCACAAGTACAATTCTTTAAGTCTAATTTAATAAATCTAATCACTATTAAATTATAATAATAACTATTCCATTATAACTGATACTTATAAGCAATAAACAATCAAGAAAAACTGCTTATATTAAAATAATAATTCGTCTGATTACAATGATAATTTTCTAAAATCCAATTTAGTCATATAATCTTGTTAAACTGTTGTAACCCTTATTTAAATTTATAAAAGGTTAAGTTAATCATTTTAAGTAAGTGAAAAGCAAAAAGAAAAATACTAAATCATACCCAAAACTTTAAAGAAAGTTTTTTAATTTTTGTAATAATAAGAATATCTATCACATTTTCAGTATAAGAGACTTTTAAGAAATAACCATCACTGAAAAATTGCAACTTAAGTGGGGCATCATTTTAGAGTTTCCATATGTATAACATAATATAACCAATAATCAAGATAATCATATTATTTTAAATCCTTTTGTGAGCTTGATTAAAAATAATTGATCCTTCATCTGCTAATATCATTCAATAATTCTAATACATTTTAAATAAATAAATTAGTATAGTCTAATTTATTAGAAATTGAATTTTACTCCTTAAAACTATTAAGAGAGTGTTAGATGATGATTATAAACTTAGCAATAAATCTTTTTGAAAATTTTGTTTTAATAGCTCAGTTAACTTTCAAATTTACTTAAAATATCAGAACTTTCTTCTCATCTTGAATTAGAGGGATATATAAATTATTATTTTTCACTCAATAATTTATCATCCAAGGTAATTAAAAGCAATATTTTTTTTTTTTTTTTGATAATTTAATTGATTTAAAGATCTGATTAATAATAAAAAATATTTTTTCTGTAGATAATTAAAAAAATAACTAATTAATAAATTTTAAAGAATCAAATACAACAAACATCTTAAAATTAATAAATTATAAATTACCTTAAATTCTCTCCTCAAATTAATCTATTAGTGATAAAGGATCAATTTTATATAACAAAGAAAGTCGAGTTAAGCTTTCTTAATCAAAGAATAGTAATTATTTTATAAATAATTATTTAATAAAACTCAGATTATTTAGTGGTCAAAATCACTATTATTTTGGCAAGTTTTGGATCATGAGCTAATATAATTAACAATTATTTACTTCTTTAAGAAAAAGTATTTGAAAGTAAATAATTCTATTGTGTTAAGTATGAATTCTCTTTAAATGAAGTAAATTTTTGAAGATATATTTTGTGGAAATTATTTAAAATAAAAGAAATTTTGCAAAAAGAGTTTGAAAAATTAAAGAATGTCTTCTCATTGAAAATATGAATTATTTAATAATAATTAATTAAGCTCTCCTAATTTTATGACTTCCAGCATGTCAATAAGAGTAATTTTAGAAGTTTAGCAGCAAAGATTACTATAATTGAAAGAACCTTAAAAATAAAAAAAGAGACAAAGCCAGAAACTAAAAGTATAAAGAATTAAATACATTTTATCAATTTTTCAGGAATTATTGATTAAATAGTCATAAAAAATAAATAACAATGAACACAGGGAATTCCTAGATTTCTTTTGCTGAAGTAGATAGTTTGATTGATTTAAAACTAACTTATTATGTCTTTTTTTCTCTAAATTTGCCAATCGCTATGGCTGATTTTTCAATTGTCAAACAAAAATGGAGTACTAAATTATTTTATTTTATAGAATATACTTTTCATAAGAAAGGAGTCTTGAATTGGTATTCTTTTAATGATTTGGCTAAATCCATATTTTATCATCACTTTTTTTTTACAGTAATTATTTATTTATAAAAAAGACCAAACTTCTTTTATTTATAAATCATTTTTAAATTAAGTGAATAACAATTAAAATATGATTTTTTGGTTGATTAAATCAATATGCATCTAAGCAGTACTAGGATAAAAAGGATACTGGGAATATTAGCAAGCATTTGGAAATTAAAATGAATTTTGTCCTGATTTACATACATCTGTGCCCGGCATGCATCCGCATTAATGTGTTTGTAATTATTAGTGCAATTAATAGCTTATGCCAAGATTTGTTAAGGCGTTACAGAAGTAGTAATAAAAACAGAAACAAATGGAACTTAACATATATGCCATCCAAGATATCAACTATATGGATCACAATATATAACTAAAGACAGCTATTCAGTTCATTGCGGATACGAATTAGGTTTCTCATTGGTAATGGAACTGCAAAATGATGGACTTTATAGATACTATTGTGGAGGTAAAAATAGTTAATTTGTAATTAGATTTTCTATTTTAAGTTTAAAGTTATTTAAGATGTTTGATATTTGCAAAGTAAGATGGTTATTTAAAATGTCTATTTTGTAAATTTCCATTCTATGATTATGATTGTAAATATGTTAAACTTGGTTATAATATATTATCTCCAGGTCCTCCTTTAACTGCTTAAAGTATTTTAAGTATAATTATTCAAGAATGTGATGGTTATTGTTTGGCATGTGATGCATAAAGAAGTTGTATTGATTGTAGAGAAGGTTTTTCAAAAAGTTAAGCTGATGATAATGGTTGTTAATAATGTAATTAAAATATTACAATTTGATAGTTTGTTAGGGATTTCGAGCTTGTTATCTTGATTCATCTCAAAACTTAATTGGGATTAATGGATGCGTATCAGGATGGATGATGTATAATTCTAATCCTAAATGTGAATATGGTTATTATATTAATAAATATTTTATAGGCATGATTTAAAATTGTGAAGATCCGTATTATGGTGAGTTTGGTTACGGTTGTAATAAGTGCCTCGATGGATTTTTTTTAGGGAAGTATTATGCGAGGGATAATTATGACACATATTGTTATTCGTATGATAGGAATTGTCATAAACATAGATAAGTAATATAAGAAAAAAGAGATAGATGGAATGATTATTTTTATTTTGTAATTTATTAAAATATACATAGGTAAGTTGTTACTAATGCGATCCAGGATACATTTAATTAGAAAATATAAGCTATTGTTTTCGTAACATTTAATTTATCAAATTTTTTAGAGATTAGATCTTTTATAAGTTGTATCTTATTAGATCTATAGGGAATTAATTGTATAGCTTGTTATCCATCATTTGCGTTACTACCAGATGGAACATGCAAATATTTTTAGTGTGAACCATAATGTTCAACTTGTTTGGACAATGATCCAAGTTTTTGTACCACTTGTGATAGCACAGAAAATAAAATAGCTGATAATGGTATCTGCAAATGCTTACCAAATTCTGGTTTGTAAGAAGGGAACTGCACACCTTGTAAGGAAGGTTATTGCCAAGAATGTGAACTGGAGAATTTTTATTCATGTATTTCATGTAAAGAAGGATCAAACAGAATACTCATCAATAAACAATGCAATTGTTTATCTGGTTATTATGATCCTGAAAATGAAGATTAGATATGTCTCCGTATATTGACTTTATCATATTTTAGCCTGTGATATTAGTTGTTCAAATTGTTTTGGTTCATCAAATTTAGAATGTACTGAATGTCTAGAGGAAAGCATCTCAAACAGAATTAAATTTAATGATG